GTAAATGCAAAAAATATAAGATAATTCTAATAGAAATTTTTCAATTTCAACAGTTAACATTGCAACTAGAGCTAACATACCCAACACCAATACAGGGTTGGCCTACTTTCTGCCACTGGCTCTGCTCAGCAAGTAGGCAATAGGGATTTCAAGCCCGGCAACATCTTTAGATAACAGGGTGGTGCAATTTATAACAACTCCTCCACATAATATTACATTTCAGGCCCGTAGCCAGCAATTTCAAAGGGGGGGGTTCTTTTTCTGAAAAAGTGGACCTTTTACTATATAATCCCCATGTACCTAGCCCCTAGTCTAGGTCAAATTTTACCCAGAGTGGACCTTTTTCCAGCAAAAAGGGGGGGGGGGGGGGTTCTTTTGAACCCCCCAAACCCCCCCTGGCTACGGGCCTGCATTTGATCATTTTCATTCAACTTCAGATCAATAGTACACTGACCATTCCCTCCAAGACAATTCCAAATACAACGTGTCTCCCATCCAACCAATTTGTCTTTTTAGTTGTTATGAAGAACTGAGATCCGTTCGTGTCCTTGCCAGCATTAGCCATGCTCAACCAACCAGATCCATAATGCTTCAGCTTAAAATTTTCATCTTCAAAACGATCTCCATAAATGCTGGCACCTGCATAAAAAGAAGAAATCAGTGGTTTCTTAATCATTATTTCATGAAAAGTAGGCTCCTTATCTTATAGCCTGAATTATCATTATCTCATATGGAGCATTTTTTTTTCTTTTCGGATAAGCTGAAATAAACATGAACATTTCTTAATTGGAATCTTTGCATAACTTGAACAATTTATTTTGGATTCCGAAGTGTTGAGTTATGCAGAGTTTAATGTGTTACACTTTTCATGCATGGATGTCTCCCAGTGAAAGGTTAATAGCTTTGAAGCTGTTAATCTTCGGAAAACGTGTTTATTGCAACATTGCACACAGTCACAATCTTGTCTTTTTATTTTTTACAGTTACTACCGTAACGGTAATGACTCCATCTTTTCAATGGGCAAAAATTATCACAGTTTCTGATACATCAATTTAGGATCATAAAAATCATATTTTTGTATGGCATTTGTGGTGCTTTTAATGCATAGAATAGAACTAAATTTAAATTTTGTTGCCATCACTGAAAGAGATTGCTCTTGTGTTAAGAAATTAAGCCTTAAAAAATACAGCATCTGTAAAATTCACACTTTTCCCCATTGAAAAGATCGAGTCATTACCATAAGCCATAAAATAAATTAGAACTTAAACAGGATTTCTACCTCCAGTTCCATCTCCCTTGGTAAAATCCCCTCCTTGGATCATGAAGTCTTTGATAACTCTATGAAACTTGCTTCCTTTGTACGTAAGTTTCTTGCCATCTTTCTGAAGTTTAAATAAAATGTTCCAAGAGTTTATAAAATGACATCTACTCTAAAATATATAATGAATCATAAATAAACTATAAAATGTCAATTGATGCTGAAGATCCTGACCATATCAAAAATTAAGGTTGGCACTTAGTTAAGTAATTAATGCAGCAATAAAGATGTTTGGTAAAGGATTATTATGCCAACTATGAAAAAGCATACCTCCATTGATCCTTCTGCTAATGTTTTGAAATTTTTCGCTGTCTTTGGAACCGTTTTTCCAAACAGCCCAATAGTTATTCGACCTTGCTTCTCGCCACCAATTTCAATATCAAAATAAACCTTATAAAAGAAAAAAAAATGTTTTTTTTTTCTAGTACACATTGGTATTCTTCAACTGCTTTAAATTCAATTAAAAGTAATCTTTGCCACTAAACCCAACCAAATGCCATCATATAGTTTTAAATGGTGTAACTTTGAAAAATACCAATGAACATGATACAGTAGTGTCACAGCTATTTCCTTAAAGTAAAATACAATATTTGTTTTCTGTACTATATAGAACAAAGAGATCAAGTTCTATTGCCTTTGATTTGGAAGATACAATGAATCCATTTGTACTTCTCATATTCCATGCATCTACTGACAAAAATTCTTTCACTTTACCTACTTCACATATACAAAACAGTTAATCTGCTTAGAAAAATAATGGAACCAAAAGTTTTACTAGCTTCTATTATGTAACGTATTCAGGTCTTTTAGACATTATTTTAGAAGTGAAAAAACTAACAAACATAAAAACTAACATTCATTCCAAATGATAAACAAATTTAATGTTACAATATCTTTTTAAAAAATGTAACAACCAGTATATAACAAAGGATGACACTTGTAATGCTACCCAGTAATGCATCTAATGGATAATGGAAACTGGCAGCTGGACACAACACTAAATTTGAAAAATCAAACACATGAATGCAAAAAAAAAAAAAAAAAAAAAAA